TAGGTGTGTTTGTATCGCGGAATATTAACAATTTGCCACTTATTATCCTAAAAATAATAACTTGTTTCACTTAATGATTAGTTAATAGAAATTTATCGTTAATAATAATTTATGTTTAAACATTTCGGGCTAAAGGAAATGAAAAAAGGGAAAGAAGGGAAAATAGAGGAAAAGAGGGGGGAAAAAAAGGACGGCGCATCTCAGTTCTTGAATTTATGGTTGCCGATAAGTCAATCTTTCGAGGAGGATGAATTGAACATAACAATTTAGCCCCTATCTTGAGAAGATTTTTCTAAGATCATTTCAATTGAAATGGTGAAAATTTAAAAGAAGCTTTCCAAATAAAATTCTTAATTTTATCGACTTCCACTATTAGAAAAAGAATTGTTTTTTATAAGAAGTTCTCCCTCCTTTATGGGGTTGTCTTCAACCGGCCGAAAGACGTTTGATGTTGTCCAAGGAGTATGGTTGGACTCTCATTTCGATCTTTTTGTCAAGGTAGACAACTAGATAGAGTTGTATTCAATGGAATAGGTAGACGTCTGAGCTCTATTTGGCCCGGGTGTCACGTGTTGACTAATTATATTTTAAGCGATGTAAGCGGTTTTTTTTAGGAAAATATTTTTCAAATCGTTTGTGTTCCGCGAAACAAATGGAGCATTCATATCCTTATTTGACCTAAAAATCAAAACAAATTTGTCAGTCCAGATTGCTGAACGAGTAAGATAAAAGTATTGTTTTCCATTTTCATACTCCTCATTCTTCAACAGCCATCAATGGATTAAGGTATATTCAATATTTTTTTTCCTCGAAACGTAAATTCTTTAGATAATTTTTTTTTCAGTTATTTTTATACCCTTAAATTTATTTTAAAAATCACCACTACAAAAAAACTGGATTTTTGCCACGAAAATTTGCGACGAAAAAATTTTCGTTGCAAATTTGCGACAAATTTTCCAACGAAAAGTAAAATTCCGAGCAATTATTTCAGTTTATACAATTTTCGTTGGAAAATTCGTTGGAAATTTCCAACGAATTTTAATTTTCCGGGCAATTATTTTAGTGTCTCTCTCTCGCTTCCACCTTCTCCCCCGCTGCCTCCCCCGCCGCCCCCCCTCCTCCTCCGACTCGGCTCCGGTGCCATGGACACCAAGATCGGCATCCAGGTCATCTGCGACGTCCAGAATTTTTTGTTGGAAATTTCGTCGGAAAAAATCAGTTTTTTTGTAGTGCACGGTATGTCCAGTACATAATCTGTTTTGATTGAATACTCTACTTTAGTGATCTCTGTTTTTTTTTTTGAATTTTTTACTGATATTATTGAGTTGATTTCATTTGAAATACCAATTGATAATCTGAACTGATAAGTTCATGTGACTTGAAAGAATTCTATTAGGACTAAAATTTCCCTATCAATGCCCACTCAAAATTTTCATAACAAAGTGATCGGATGACTGTTTATGTGTTCTAAAATAATTATCTATGTTAAATGAGTTGAAAACCCGAAATTTGATCATATTAAATTTTTTTTTGAAACTTATAAGCATGGGAAAATTATCCGAGAGTATTAGTAAATCAAATGCCACTTGGTAAGAAAACAATTTGATTATTCATCCTGCTTTTGTTGCACGTGGAATATTTTTTCGCAAGTCAGTCTTGTCAATTAGTAATAATTGATGAGAAATCTTAGGGTCAACATCATTGTATGACTTGTGGAGTGACGTCACATATTAAACATATATGAGCGCAAAATTAATTTTCCATGAAAAAATTCATATTAGGAAGAAAATTGGAAGTTGCTGAATTTGTTGCGGCCCCGCTCCTGAGGAGAATTATTTTCAAGTATTCACGTTGTGGATGTTGATGGTTCTGATTATAAGTCGAACACAAGGCGACGTTAAGGATGCCAACTGGAGTTTGAATACATCGGCAAATTGATGAACGGATAGTAGAAACACTAGTCCGGCAAGTCACGCGACAACAAATTGACGTGGCTGCAAGCAGATTACGCAACAACAAAAGAGGCTGACGTGGCTGCAGTGTCGGGACAACTAAAGAGGGCTGCGATGTAGGAATAGTAGAAGAGGCTGCCGTGACGGTAGTGTAGGTATAAAGAAGAAGCTGACATGATTGCTTGACATGATAGCAGAATATGTTGACGTGGTTGTGTGGCAGGCTATGCAGCAACAAGTTGACGAGTTGACATGATTCAGTGGTAGGCTACAGTTGTCACCCCCAAAAGAGAAATAATATTGAAGATTGATTTCGAAAGAGAGATAATACGAATAATTGAAAAGAGAATGACACGAGATGCAATATGCTTCAAATGTGCACCCAGGTGTGCATTATTAGTAGTAATAAAGAAAATGACATTCTTTTAATAAAAATGACAGGAGAAGCATGGTGTACTCCGTGTGCGACATGCAACTTATGCACATTTGGATTGCCTAGTTTTGATACTAAGATAATAATAATGCGGAAAAAAAGAGTATAATTTTTGTATGTTTCCGTGTATATATCTTTGTGTCTCTTAATACATGAACAACCAATTAGGGATACGAATAATAGAGAATCAATGGAAATATCTTAATCATCTCCAACGCGTGTGATTAAGACATATTTTTTTAGCCGTCTTTACCAAACTAATGACCGCATTTTTGATATTTGCGATTTATAACCCGGAATTAGAACTTTTTACGTGTAACTTTTGTTGAGATATGCAACGGCGAACGTGTTTGCATAAATTGAATGCATGTCTTACGACCGATATCTACACTACCAAGCGTGAATAACACCAACGTCGGACCATCTGCTCTGGCTTTGACTCATCAGAATGATATTCTTCTGCATAAAACAGATTTTTTCGTGGCAAAGGAATCCTACAATGGAATTCAATTGTGTGAAAGAGCACAGGGACAGGGAAGAAGTTTTCAGCGCCTGATACAATCGTTTTCATGCAGAGTTTCCAAGTCTAAATCCTCCTTTTCGATGCCAAACAGCTCATCGATCTCATGTAAGCACCATTAAAATCAATGGTTTATGAATTCAATGTCTATTGATGTCATTGATTTCGTCGCATTGATAAGCGAAGCAAAAGGAAAATCGAGAGGAGCCACAGTATCATAAGAGGCTTTCGCCATTGCTGCAATTATTTCGACATTGTCCCATCAAAATATCTGAAATCGGTCGTCGTGTCATGTTCAGTGTCAATTATTTCCGGACATGCTATGTGGACGCAATATCCTTATATTCAGCCTCAGATTTCGCAAAGTAGGCCCAATTCCTAATATCCACGAGGACCCAGTTGAGCCAACCAATTAAAGCTGGCATTTTCTGATTGGTGAAACTTGAGAATCTGCTCAATTGGCTATGTAAGAGATAATTAGGAATTTCTCTAAAATAATTTTCTATATTAGAGATATTAGATAATTCAATTGATCATTTGGATCTTTCAAGACTGCACATATATCTTGATTGATATATTATCTTAGACAATCTTCTAATAAAGTCTATAAATAGGCTCGTGTATTATTCTTCTATACACATAGAAGCATACAAAAAAATTCCTCAAATCTCTCTTCCATTTTATTATTTTTAACTTGATATCAAAGCCACCGTTCTTGAAGAAACCTTAAGTACATCGGGTGCCACCCAATGCACATCCAAAAAAATCTATCCCGTGTACATCCAAAAAAATCCATCCTCACCACTCAATAGCATTCACTTCATGCGCACAAATCTCATATGAGGAAGCACTTAATCGAGTCCATTCCACAATAGTTGTGTTTTGACACTAACTGCACTAATCGCGTCACCTACTTGAGCCTTTTTCACGGAGGTGCGCAATGGCATCGCTTAGTAACTATTTTCCCAAACCAGTCATATGGGTCGCGTCACTCAGTTATTGTTTCACTAGCCAGCCGAATCGGCCGCTTTTGCTGTTTCCCCTCCGATTCTTGACCTTTTGCATGTTGTTTCGAGAAGCCAACACCACCTCCAAACTCGCCGTCCCAACTAGATCTGGAAGTTTTGCCAAGAACAGCTATGAACGCCGCCTCATCAGCCTCGTCCAGTGTCTCGGCTGTTGGACATTGTCACCTTGAGTTTGGCTTGATTTCAAACTCAAGCTAACTTAGTCACCTTGAGTTTGAGGGGATGATAGAGATAATTAGGGGTAATTCCCTATGTTAGAGATATTTGATAATTCTATTGATTCTCTATTTCTCCAAAAATTGCATGAATATCTTGATTAATATATCATCTTACATAGTCCTCTAATAAAGTCTGTAAATAGGTTCATGTATTATTCTTCTATACATATCGAAATATATAGAAAATTTCCCAATTCAATTTTTTGCATTATTCTTTACTTGCTAATGTGCTAATTGGGTCAGTACTTCCATTTGGATGCAAACTATAATTTGAAGTCCTTCATTGGTAAGATTTAAGAATATATCGACATATGACACAAACGAGTGCGCTCAAAGCAAATGAAAATTCACGAAATGTGAGGTGGTAAACATATATTTGAAACTTAAACTATCAAGTGATGAGAGTTTTAATGCATGCTAAGCTATTTCTAACTTACTAAAGTAAGAGATAGGGCTTAGACAAATATTGCAGGGACCGTAACTTGCCCCGGATCATAAGTTATGAATTACTAAAATCGCTACACATAAATTTCCATTACTTGAGTCCTCTTATTCAATTTTTATTGATCCTGTCACTTCACAAATTCTTGGGACAACCTACCTCCATGTTTGGAACTCCCGAAGATGGTGGCCAGTGCCACATCAAATTACAATAATTTCTTTTCCACCTCAGGCCAAGAGAAGTCCCTGTTTGTTTGGGGCCTCAAATACTAGTCAAGCCGACGAGAGAGATGGCGTCCAACAAACGATTCACGTTTTCACATGACAGACCCTAAAGGGAGCTGGCTCCAAGTCATGTATAAATAGACCCGATGGGTCTCGTTCCAAGAAGCAAGCTAAATCCTTCTCACCCAACAATTCATGGAGTCCCAAAAGCCCTCGATTCAATCTCTCGTCAATGCGATCAAGAAAGAGATACTCCCCAACATGGGCTCACGCTCATTCCTCTCCCCTTCACCATATGACACCGCATGGTTGGCGATGATTCCCGATCGTCGCCAACATGATCGTCCCATGTTCGAGGGGTGTCTGAATTGGGTGCTCCACAATCAGAATGAAGAAGGGTTTTGGGGAGATTATGATCATGACGAGCATCAAATGTCTGACGGAGTGGAGTGTCTTGCTTCAACTCTTATTTGCATGACCGTGCTAAAAACGTGGCATGTTGGTTCAACTTTGATAGAGAAAGGTACGATGTGCTTCACTTTCAAATAAATACCAAAAGATGGCCATCACAAACATAATTTTTCTTTATTTACGTCGAAATATGGCCATCACAAATATAATTCTTCCTTCTAGGATAAAATATACTTTAATTAGTAGATTACTTTTGTGATCACTACACTAAACTCTGTACTTAACTTTCAATCAGGTCACTTTGTTTACTTTTCAACCCACGGCCTAACCCACCAAATATAATGTGGTTTCTTGTTAAAATTAAGTCAATCGATCATCTAAGAAAGTCAACCTTAAGTCAACACGGACATGAGATATCTAATATTAAGATATCGTATAAATGATGATGCAAGTAACTATTGTATTCGTTTCCTTATTGAAACTCTTCTCTAATAGTCATATAGTTCTTCACAAACTCTTCTCTAATACTTCTCCATTTTTTTTGGATTTTTTACGTTTCAGGATTAAAGTTCATTCATGAAAATGCGGAATTGCTTCTTTCAAGAAACAAGCCTAGAAAGTTTCCACGTTGGATCACTATCATCATGCCCGGAATGGTTGATTTGGCACGTGATGTTGGTTTGGAGGTTATATTCCCCGAAAGCACAGAACGAGCCATTTTAGATTTATTCAGCAGTAGACAACGAATTCTCGAAAGGCAATTCTATTTCTTTCCTTCTTTATTGGTCGAAAATTATCATATGTTTTTTTTTTCAAGTTGACCTAATTTTGCACATCGGTCACGATACTTTTAAATTTCAGTACTCATACAGCCCCAACCATTCCAATTTAGTTCAATCTCAGTCCTTTGACCAAATCGGCATGCATCCTTCTTGTTTCTTTTCTTATTATGTTAAAGGAACTTGCTATGTAAAGAAGAAGATCTCTTCATCAGTCGACCAACTTAACAACAATTAATTGTCATGGAATGAGACCAACCAGAATTTTGGCTCAATGATAGTAAGTCTTAAGAATAGACAAATGAGTTTTCAGAGCCTCTAGTCTAAAAGCGCCAAAAGTTGGGGCCCTAATTAAAGCCAGCCACAACTCCTATGTTTTTCCCTCCTCAGACACAATCATAACTTTTAGGGTTTTGGCCTTTTGCAGGGAAGAACTTGTCGACAAGAACCAATGTTACCCATTGTTGTCGTATCTTGAGGCCCTGCCTCCAACATACAAAATCAGCCATGAAACCATATTGAAGCATCTGGACAGCGACGGCTCTTTGTTTCAATCACCCTCTGCAACATCAAGCGCATACCTAGCCACCGGGAACGAAGAATGCTTGGCTTATCTTCAATCTCTTGCTTCGAATTGTGCTTCTAATGGTGGTAAATGAATGTTATGTTCAAGAGATTTTTAGATGTTATCGAAACATGTTGTTCTTGTTTCCCTGACTATTTTCATTTCATGAAAATTATATATTGTCATTTTTGGAAAAGAGAATAAAATTATCGTAATAATTGATGGGTTGTGATTGATCTGAGTTAATGGAATTGTCATATATTCGGGGCATTGAAATTCTCTCGTTCTATAGAAGGTATGACAAGGAATGCATCAACTTTATTTGTGTCTTTTTGTTTCTTTCAGCTAAACTTATATAGCCAATTAGATGGCCTCAAACTGGAACCTATCTGCATACACAGAACAGAAACTTTGATTTTTTTTCAGCAAATTTGGGCCGGAGATGCAAAACCGAAGATTTTGATATTTCAATGAGCAAAATCCTTCAAATCTAGCGCTGGCGTTAGGGATTCTTAAGCGTGACGTCGTGTTGGTGGGTCCTGCGCTAGCGTCACCCCGGGTTTACCTCCTCGGCTGTCGGCCGTGCGGTTCCCGGGTTACCAAAAAAAAAAAAAATCCTTCAAATCTTTGTATAGGGACTTAAAGTTGAAATTCAAATCATGCTTTTAGATGAAAAAAAAATCATGCTTTTAGATTAAGTAGGCTGTGTTTGGCAAGAGACAAGACTTCAAATGGTGGATCACTAAAAGCTAAACTAACGAAAACTAATTTAATAGGAGTAGAGTAATTATAGCATATACCATCGCTGTAAGGTTTGAAAATTTATTTGTTAAATTTACATAGTTTTCCTTTAATAACGTTCATAACACTTGAATATCTTTTCGCTTTTCTTGATGATTAAAGCAGTTCCGTCTCTATACATCGTGGATGAAGAGCTTACAAAACTTTCCATGGTTTATCAACTAGTGAGATTAGGGTTGACCGAGTACTTTGACCAGGAGAAGGATGAAATTTTGGCACAAATCTATCGGTTAGTAAAAGTTTCCTAGTCTCTTTGTTTTGATCTAGAAAAACTACTAAAGTTTCCCGACAAAGCTGTCGCTTATTTTCTATTGTCGATCGTGATTGCTTTTGAGGTCACCGAAATTGTCCATAAGGCATCTCTAACTAATTCAAGCATACTAACATTTCTTTTTTCAGGAACTACAAACATGAAAAACCGATCACGAAATCAATTCATTCGATCGGTGTCGAGCTATACAAAGATTGCTTGGGATTCTGGCTTTTGCGCATGCATGGTTATAGTGTATCACCATGTACGAGTTGCAAACTTTACAAGTTCTTCAATCAGTTCCTTTTCCTTGGGGTCTTTCATGGGTGATATTTTGAAGTGGTTCCATTAATTTCAATTGTATTCTGCATTTTGCAGCAAGCTTTTGTTGGTTTCTAGATCGTGAAGAAGTTCGAGATCACATCGAAAAACATTATGAATACTACTCAAGCGTGCTCCTTAACGTTTATAGAGCCAGCAGTCTTATGCTTCTGGATGAACATCAACTTGAGAAAGCAAGAACTTTCTCGAAGAAGTTTCTTGAGAAAATCGTATTCGGAGGAACGAGAGATGAAAGCATCATCTCGTCGAGTCATCGCAGAATGGTTAGTATAAACATTGGGTACTTCTTTTCATTCTGTATAATAACTTATGATATCGGTAAACGCTTGACATGTCCGTGTAGATTGAGCACGAGCTGGGTCTTCCATGGATGGCTCGCCTAGACCACCTGGAACATAGGATGTGGCTGGAGGAAAAAGATGCTTGTGTATTATGGATGGGAAAATTTTCTTCCCATAGGTATTAATGTATTAAAGAGGAAATTATAATGTTGCTTTATTACTATGCTATAATATGAAATTGACTTTTTGCTTTTCTTTGATTTCATTAGGTCATCATTGGTTCATAATCAAGATATAGTGCAACTTGCTGTGCAGAACTTTGTACTGAGACAATCTGTTTACAGGATGGAGCTTGACGTAGTAAAAGGGTATATATGCATATGGTTTAGTTAAGTGTTGTTAGTTAGAAAATAATTATTTCTAATGACTCTTCATTAATGGATGAGTTCAGGTGGTCTAAAAAAACTGGACTTAGCAAGATGGGGTTCGGTCGAGAGAAGACAGTGTACTCTTATTTTGCTGTCGCCTCTTCCGTTTCTTTGCCTTGCAACTCCGATGTGCGAGTAATGGTTGCCAAGAGCGCAATCATAATAACCGTCGCCGATGACTTTTTCGACATGGAAGGTTCATTAGAGGATCTGGAAAAGCTTACCGATGCAGTTCAAAGGTACGATTATCACCTAAACGATGTATTGTAAGCATTTCTTATTTAAATCATTCAAAATATCAATATCCTTCTTGAGATAAGAAGTAGATGGAAAAAAAGTGCGTCCAACAGGATGTGAACCTATACCAAAGGCTTAGTATTTGTCCAACTCTAACTTACTATTTCTAAAATTTATGTCAAGAGGTGCATTCACTAAACCATATGCATGAGGCGACTCTATGCCTAGAAACAAACTTAGTGTGTGTATGGTTTCTATACTCATCTCCCATGGCGTCATAGTCCATTCGATTAGTTACCCTTAGAATCGCCTCTTTCTGTGCGATACGAACATTATACTAGGTGGGACGGTGAAGGACTAAGGGGGCACGCAAAGACCTTATTTGAAGCCCTCGATGATATCGTCGCCGACTTCAGAGTGAAATGCTTCAAACAATCGGGGAAGGACATCAAGAAAAACCTTCAACATATAGTACGTCTCATGTTCCCACATTACACTTCTCTTTCTTTACTTTGCTACATCGAGCAATATTTCTCTTTTAAATGGGCTAAAATGGTTTGTTTGGTTCGAAAGTGGGGCGAGACATTTCATTCGTGGCTCATGGAAGCGAAGTGGAGCCGAAGTGGAGGTGCGCCTGTGACACCCGAGTACCTTGACGTGGGCATTATGTCTATCGCAGCGCACATCTTAGTCCTTCCCTCGTCGTGCCTCGTGAGCCCCACGACGCCGTTGCATCGCCTGTGGTCCAACCCCTACCAACCCATCACCAAATTGCTCATGGTCATCACTCGGCTGTTGAATGACATCCAAAGCTACTCGGTAAAGGTTTTAATGTCTTGAGGCTATTTGAACTGTTCAATATGATAGAGCTAAGTTTGGCCAATGGCCAAGCAGCTATAGTTGGCCGGTCCTCCCTTGGTGGCGCTTGTTCATTGGTGGCACACTCTTATTTCTTTTCCCTGTTGTTATGATTCTGTCCTCACTTGCCCCACCTGCTTCTTTCTCTCTCTCTCTCTCTCTCTCTCTCTCTCTCTCTCTCTCTCTCTCTCTCTCTCTCTCTCTCTCTCTCATTACAGAAAGAAGAAAAGCAAGGGAAATTGAACTTTGTGCTGCTCTACCTAAGGGAAAACCCCGAGGCCAACATTGAGGACTCCATCAAATTCGTACAATTGCTGCTAGACCAACTGAAGAAAGAGTTCCTCCAACACGTCCTCAACGGGCTCTGCGACTTGCCCGAACCGAGCAGGCGGCTCCACCTTGGGTGCTTGAAAGTGTTCCACATGTTCTTCAACTCCTCCAACCGCTACGACTCAGACACGGACATGCTCCACGACATCCAGAAAGCGCTCGTAGTCCCGCCGCAAGTCCCCAAATTGAAGCCCCTGAGGCCTTTGCCGGAGCAACCAGGATCGAAGCCTCGGGTGTTAGTGACCAAGAGCCTGTCCGGCAAATTCGGCCTCAAGTGTTTTCCTAGGAAAAGCTTTATTGGGTATCGAATGTCTTCCCAAACTGGTCCAGTGAATAGATGGGAGAAGATGTACAAGTCATCTAGTTTTAAGCTATATTTCGCTTAGTTATGGCAGTGGTATATCTTCATGTACTTATAGTCATGAACCAACTATGGTATTTCGTGCTTCAATCTCGTTGTTGTCCGTGTGGAAAGCGTTACAAGTCCACTTTCTAATTGATGCCGGAGCATCCCTTGAAGGCCATTAATTCGGCATCTTTGGAAATAGTCAAAATTTGTAAACCTACAACCAACTATATTTCTCATATTTTCAATGTCTCATAAATGTCATTATTGCATTTCTTAGTTCCTAGGTCTTTATGAGTCTTAATTGTGATGAATGTTCCAAGAGTCAAAGTTCTAGTTCCTAGGATTTTATTATGTTATGTCTTTCCAATGAGTCTAGGAATTACTCATACTTGGAGGATTGTTCCTTACTCATCTATATAAGCATGCTATGATGAATAAAAAAAGGAAGACTCAATTGACTCATAACTTATTTAAGCCTTTGGCTTGAGAACAATAAGTTTTTCTTGTTTGCTCTTATCCCTTATGTTGATTACCTACAAGTGGCGAGTACTACTCTTATCCCTTAGGTGGATTCCTACGGGTGGCAAGCGACGTATCCATATAAGTTCTCACTTGTGTTACCTCCTACTTCTCAACACTCTCTCAACGTCAAATTGGTATTAGAGCAAGGTTCAATGGCTGCTCATCTTAGACGTGTACCAAACGTTGAGTCTTCTACAGCTCGAGAAATACCTACAAAACGTAGAGGTGGATGATTTAAGGAGACAAGTACAACAACTGCAGGGTCATTTGCAACGCTTCGAACTTCTAGAATGTGATGATTTGCGTCATGATTTAGAAGATGATCTCTCTGATGAAGAAGATGTTAACCCCTTTGCTGGTACTCGAAGTCGTGCTTCAAGTGAGGAAGGATCTCAATGTCAATATCAACGGTTTCATGAAATTGAACAAGATTCCTATGTGAATGTTGAAATTCATAAATTCGAAGGGAAGATGCAACTGAAAGAATTTATGGATTGGCTACATGCTGTAGAAAGAGTCTTTGACTACAAAGAAATACTAAATGATTGAAAGGTGAAGCTAGTCACCATCAAGCTCAAAAAACATGCATCTATTTGTGGGAGCATTTGAAGAAGCAAATAGCTCGTGAAGGAAGAAGTTGTATCGTAACTTGGGAGAAGATGAAGAAAGAATTGAAGAAGAAGTTCTTACCGACGAACTACCATTAAGATACATTCCTCCAGTTTCACAATCTCAAACAAAAGTAGCTGTCTGTGGAAGAATATATAGTGGAGTTTAATCACCTCATGATGCTTTGGGATATTTCTAAGCCAGAGGAGCGAACCGTTGCCCGCTACCTTGGTGGACTTCGATCAGAAATCGGTAATGTTGTCCAACTTCAACCTTACTGGACTTATAACAATGTTTGTCAGCTTTCTCTAAAGGTGGAATGACAACTTAAAGAAGCTCGTGGTAGGTTCTCTCGGTATTGAGACAAAGAAGGCTATTCCAAAGGTGAGAGTGCCTCGACTAGGACTAAAGCAATCGCTTCAAAGTTGTCTGCTAAAAATGATGGAGCATCAAGTTCTAAGTGCCTTAACTCTATCAAGTGCTTCAAGTGCCAAGGGTTTGGACATAGAGCATCCGCTTGTCCAAATCGTAATATTGTCTCTCTAGTAGAAAAGGAGCTTGAAGAAAAGCAACGTGAAAACTCACTTAGTTCCAATAAGGATCGGAGGAAGGAGATGAAATTATCTATTGAGATCAAGAAGAGTATGTAATCCTTTATTAGGTCTTGAATGCTACACCTAGTGAAAATGGTATGTGGCTTCGCAACAACATGTTTCATACTAGATGCACTTCTCATGGAAAGGTGTGTGATGCTATCATTAATGAAAGCTGTGAAAACGTAGTGGCTACAACAATGATGGATAAATTGCATCTCAAGACGGAGAAACGCCCACGACCTTGCAAGCTTTCTTGGCTTCACAAAGTGAAAGAGCTAAGGATTGATAAAAGATGTCTTGTTCAATTCTCCATTGGAAAAGATATAATGATGAAGTATGGTGTAATGTTGTTCCCATGGATACTTGCCGAGGCCTTGGCAATTTGATAAAAAAAAATAAGCATGATGGGTTAAAAAATATTTATGCTTTCAAGAAAGATGGAGTCAAAATCACATTGGGTCTTTCCAAAATAGAGAGTTCTCCTAAACCAACTAATGGGAAGGGAATTAATTTACTCTTCAAATCTGAAGTTGATAAGGCCTCGGAAGAATCCATGGAGGTATATGTACTTGTGGTTTTAGAATAAAATGAAGAACCTCTTTCTCCAAGAATTTAAGGATGTTGTTCCGGAAGAGATTCCACCCGGTCTTCCGCCCACAAGAGACATTCAAAATTGCAATGATTTCTTTTTTTGGGAGTCATCATTCCAAACAAAGCAGCATATAGAATAAGTCTTAAAGAGCATGAAGAGCTACAATGGCAAGTGGATGAACTCATGGCTAAAGGAATGGTGAGAGAAAGCATGAGTTCATGTGCTGTCCTTGCTCTTCTTGTGCCAAAGAAGGATGGTTGGCACATGTGCATTGATAGTAGAGCGGAGACGAAGATCACCATCAAGCACCGTTTTCCCATTCATCGACTCGATGATCTTCTTGACCGGTTCCATAGCCCTACTATCTTTTCTAAGATTGATTTTCGAAGTGGGTATCATCAAATTCGAATGAGAGTTGCAGATGAGTGGAAAACCGCCTTCACAACAAAAGATGGCCTCTATGAATGGATGGTCATGCCTTTCGGCTAATGCTCCTAATACATTTATGAGCCTTAAAAATCATATCTTCAAATCATTTATTGGCAGCTTAGTTGTTGTTTATTTTAGTGACATTCTTGTTTGTAGTTCTACTCAAGAGCAACGCTTGGAGCATCTTCACCAAACTTTCAGGTTTCTATAAAAGCAAAAGTTATATGCCAACTTAAAGAAGCTTCACTTCTTTACCAATAACCTTGTCTTCCTAGGCTTTGTTGTTTCCGAAGAAGGTATTGAGATGGATCCAAGCAAGGTGGAGGCAATCATACACTGGCCTATTCCAACATCTATACATGATATTCAGAGTTTCCATGGTTTGGCATCATTTTATCGTCGCTTATCAAACATTTCAACTCCATTATTTCGCCTATCACTGAGTGATTGGAGGGTGGACATTTGTTGCGACCTGCCCATCCCGATCGGGTGGATAAAAAATGATTGAATAGGTCAAGAGATATTTGTTGATAGATGTGAACATTGATTGATTCGTTTGAAGGACAAACCAAATAGTTCATTAATCCAAGGATCGAGGTGCTCCCAAGTCTCATATCTCATGTAACGAGAATTGTATAAATTATGCATTCAATTGGAGTCGCCACTAGCCATAATCAAAGATTGGCTAGAAATCTCATCGAAACGCAGGAGTGTCATCTCTATATGTACGTAACTAGAGATTCTAAGAATCGGGGACTTGATTATACTAGTGATCTAACTAGTGCCATTTTAGTACCTAAACTTGATCGCTTGCTAACTAACGCACCAGGGCAACCTATCAAGAAGCTTAAAGCTCATCCTAACCATACTAAAAATGAAAAATAACAACTCATGTATTAAAGGTGCGCAACCAAATAATTAGCATGAAAATAAACAATCAGCAACCTAGCATTGTCTCTAAAAAGAAAATGCAATCAAAAGTCCTAAGGTAAAGCCTAAAGGCTTATCTGATTTTTTGGGAAATTTTTAAAGCGTTTTCTCAATTTTTATAAGTTTTTAAACTAAATCTAGAATCAAATTAACACTAAGATCTAATGAAATTAAGCCAAGAACGAATTTCTAAACACATCCTAATTTCCTGAATTTTTTTGGAATTTTTCTGATTTTTTAAAATTTTTAATATTAATAAATAAATAAAAAAAGAACTCCGGACCGGGTCGGGGGACCGGGTCCGATTCAGCGCTCCGACCCGCCCGGATTATATCCCAATTTTATGTTTTTTTCCCATTTTTTTATATTTCTTTTTCTCTCTAATTTTTTATTCCTCCCCCCCCCCCCCCCCCCCTACTGTATACCTTCTTCTTCACCGAGACCTCCTCACGCCTGTCTTCTTCAATGCCGAGACCGCGCCAAAACCTCTCCACCGGTGAACTTCCCTAGCACCGTCGACCATGACCTCCAGCCATCAACGTCAATAGCCAACATCGCCGACCACCACCAAGCCATCTCCGTCGGTCATCTTTTCGGCCACCACTCTGGCTAACGTCAGACCATTCTGGCGACGTCACTGTCACCAAGAACACTCATAGAAAAACAAACGCCATTCCAGCAAATCAAACACGTATATGCACACTAAAGGCTAAGGAAATATAGGACTGACTGAGGTGACCTCAAACTGCAAGCTCCTCCGGCGAGGGGAGTGGCGCCTCTGACAAAGGTTTCATCCGCGACCGACTCGGACATCGAACGATATGCCACAAAATCGAAGGAAAGCACAAAGTCAGTAACTATAGTAGAACCACTCAAGCATATAACAAAGCTTTGGGGTGTCGGTTTCACAAAAACAGATTCGGAGCTTCATTTAGGCATTTTGTCGAACAGGTGGTAGGCGGGGTCGAACAGGGACTTAAGACTGGTCTTGAACGTGATTTTTGGCTCAAATGTGATGTGTAAAGCTATAAAAAACCATACTACACCACAAATATGTTCCAGTTTACAAAGAAACTCTAAAAATGGACACGACCAGATTTGGCATTCTAAGCTCATACGGTTTCAGTGAGGCATTTTATCGAACACGCGGGAGGCGACTGAGAAATGGAGCTACAGGTCCGATTTTGACAAGGTTCGTGGATATTTTTCCACATACGATGTTCAGATTGACCTCAATCAGTATGAAACGACTATAAACTTCCATTCAAAGAACCCGAAGATCACTGAACAGATCCAGCGTCTTTGTTTCCCGAGAGGCAGGGGAAAAACAGACAATATTTTGAGCTTACATGGTTCGTGTGGCTTTTTGGCGACAAATGGCGGCCAGTAGGTTGATCTCTGACGAAAACCACAGCTGTTTCAGCGAGCGGGATGGATTTTCTCGCCCTTTCTCTCTTGCTCTCCCTCTCGGTCTCTCTTACTCTCCCCCGGTATCTCTCGCTTCCTTTTAGACTCCTGCCGGTCCTCTCTCTTTGGCGTCCCTCCAAAACGATCCTGGGCCAGTCAACGAAGCCAGCTCTTTTTCTTTCTTTTTTCAG